TCTCTCTCTCTCTCTCTCTCTCTCTCTCTCTCTCTCTCTCTCTCTCTCTCTCTCTGTTCCTTCTCCCTCCTCTTGGTCACAGGACAAGAGCAAGTGTTTCCTTACCGGCTCATCATACCCCAGAGCTGTACACTATTCTGCCCTCCAGTCTTCCTTGCCAGTTTTTCTGTCTATGAATTTGTTCTTGTTTTGTTTGTCTTTGTTTTGTTTTGTTTTGGCTTTTGTTTTGTTTTGATTTTGTGACAGGGTTTCTCTGTGTAACAGTCCTGGCTGCCCTGGGAACTTGCTTTGTAGACCAGGTTGGCATCGTACTCACGGAGGTCTGCCTGTCTCTGTCGTCCAAGTGCTGGGATTAAAGGCATGTGCCACCACCACCCAGCTTTATGAATTATTTTACACCCTCTCCTCTTCAATTGGAAACGTAACCAGAGGCTCAGAAGCTGGAGATATAACCGTTAGCATAGTTTTTCCCTAGCGTGCATGAAGCGCTGGGGTCCGTCCTTGCATCTCAAAAGCTAAATGTAGTCATGCATACTTGTGATCCTAGCACATGAAAGGAAGAGGCAGGATAATAAGAAGGTCGAAGTCGTCCTCAGCTAGGAAGCTTGGAGCTAGAGTGGGACACAGGAGACCTTGTTTGAAAGAAAGAGAAGGAGAGGGGACAGACGGGAAAAGGTGAGGAAAGAAAGCAAATTTGCAAGGTATGTCGCCTCCTGTATCCAGTGGTTTAGGGTACAGGCACAAGTTGGAAAGAGGAATACAATGTTTGAAAGCACTGATGTTTCTGACAGGGCAGATGTACTCACACATCCAGTCCCGCTGTGCAATGACAGTGGGACCTCAGCAAGAAGCTTAACCCCTCGAGCTTTTCCAACTTGAAACTCAACAGCTAACACCCATTGAATTCTTGGGAGCCCTTCAGCACTTAATATAGGGTCCAAGTTAGGTGCTGGGCCAATAAGACCCACTACCACCAGCTGGGTAAGAGTTAATACTATGTTAATAATATCACTACTGTTGAGCTGGCCATTGGGGTTCATATCTATAATCCCAGCACTTGGGAGGCCGAGGCAGGAGGATTGCTATGAGTTGAGGCAAACTAGACCAAGAGTGTGATCATGTCTCAAAATAAAACAGAACAGGAAAAAAAAATATTATCGTGGATATCTTCTGAAGGCGAGCAGGCTGGACAGCCACTACAATCCCCAAAGGTTCCGTATAATACTGCCAAATAGTTTAAAGGCGCATGCCTTAGGAGACAGTGGCAGACACCTCCCCACATAGGTCCAGAGGGAGTGGAGGAATGTACTGGACAAGGAGGACATCCTGTGCGTGCATACAATTTTGCAACTGGTCAAAGTAAACAGAGGTCACACGGCCAACAGAAAGTCAGCCAGCCCAGCAAACCCAAGCAAGAGTCGCCACAGGCCCTAACTATTAGAGAGCTAGAAATCTCCAGGCATGAGGGGCCCTGACAGTGTGTGTTCTAAACTGTTGATGGCAGGCAGTCCACACCTTGGTCCTGTGTTTAGCTGTCAGCCCATAGAGTCTCATGCTAGAGCACACAGTGCGGGAACTCTTAGCACCCCCATCTTCTGTATTCCCCAAACCCAAACCTAGCAACCCAACTTCCTCACCATTATCTCACAAGAATGCTGTCGCTGTTATCATTAGCTACCCCTTAAAGAGGGGGATTTCAACCTCCCCTGGTCCTGATTTTATATTTAGTACTTGGAGATGTCACCTCTACTCCCACAAAGTGAGATGGACTTTCTGGCGGATAAAACCTGCCATCCTTTATGGATGATAAAGACCAAGTCAGCAAACTTCTGAGAAGTCCCGTAAGATGGTTAGGACTCAGTAGTTTCAGTGATCACGGCAGAAACAGTGCCCTTGCTATGTCGTGGTGCTACAACACTTGGCCTGGGAAGGGCTTCGGAGAGTTCTCTCACGTCTTTTGTTTCTGAAGAGAGGCACCGAGGGCCAGAGAGTTTACACTTCTAGCCTTACATAGCTAAGACAGGCAGGGCCTAGCCTGAGCCCTAGCCTCAAGATTCTGAGAATCATTTCGTGGACTACGAAATGAGGGCTGGCTGTAGGCTTTGTAGAAGGTACTCATAAGTACACACGTAAGGGGTTATTTGGGAAGAACATTCCATCAGCCTGTAATAACCCTTTTTCCTCGCCTTGTCTGAAAATAAAAATACCTAAAGCTATTAATAGCCATCAGTAGTTGAGTGTACATTCTGAAGAGTCCAGGGATTTCTAAGTAAAATGAGAACCTGTCTTTTCCTAGCCTAACAATTATATCCTATTGGGATAATGAAAACTTCCTATAGACAGCATTATCTTCCGTGCTAGGACTAAAAGCTCAAAATCCAATGAACACTACACAAGGGCTCTGTAATAAACTATACTCACACCCATCTCTCAATTTTCTATGATTCCCGTAGGGGTGTGTGTGTGTGTGTGTGTGTCTCCCACCTTCCGAGTACTGGCATTACTGACAGCAATTCTGAAGGTAGACCTATGCTTTCCTGCAGAACAGTTACCTACCATAATCCTAAGAAGCCCCCACGGATGCCTAACATTCTCGCCTGCCCATCACTGGGAGACAGGAGAGGGGCAGATTCAGATGAGGCTCATTTGCTTTTCCTTTGCTACGTGCCTGTGGCTTTCTTGGTCCATTCAATTCCTCAAGCCTGTCCTCCCCCTTGCTTTGCCCATGTATCTCAGATACAAACCCTAGGCAAAGATGTCCACTGTGTGCCACTGGCAGCCATGAGAGCTGAGGCACAGCAATGACCATGTTGCTCAATGCGGTGCCGTGTGTGTGTGTGTGTGCGATATGAGTTAACCGATGAGGAGATAGCAGGCCAAGTCACCTGGTTCCTAAATACCAACAGCAGGAATACAACCCCATCCCGTCAGGAAAGGACTCTCCCCACAACCAAGGCTCAGGGCTCACACCTTCGCATCCTCCCTAGATCAATACTGCACCATGCTGCGATAGTCCCGTGTGAGCTCCTCACGTCGCTCACTGCTCAGTGTTTTCATTATTAAGTTGATAGGTTTCAGTTACCAACATCAACACCCCGCTTCCTTTCCTCCCGTGTAAACACTCCCTACTCTACTGCATGAACTGCAGGTGTGGGAGGCAGCGTCTCTAGCTAAGCGAATCAAACCTTCTGCTCGGAATTTCAACCTAGGACTACAGAATGCTACAGCTGGAGAAAACCCTTATTCTCACTTCTTCGGTTTCTCACTCAGATCCCAAACTCTGAAAGATGAGTTCTTAGGGGAAAGGGGCTCTTTAATGCAGAAACTAACGCACACCAGAAAGTGTGCGGAGCTGACCACGTCGTGAGTGTGTGTCTGCAGAATACATAAGCACAATGCCTCAGCCTCAGAGGAAAGGCAAAGCCTTCCCTGGGTCAGACTCAGGAAATGGCAGTCTTCCCCAGTCCATGTATGGATGTTGACACCGTGTGCAGACGACGTCCACATTGGCTTTCTCCTCTCTATTTACAGCCTGAGACTGCTCCTGTCCAGACACCTCCTGCCAAGATTAACTAAACCTGCCTCCTGCCTCGGCTGTATATACTAACGCTGCCCCCTGCCTCAGCTGTATATACTAACCCTGCTCCCTGCCTCAGCTGTAAACACTAACCCTGCCTCCTGCTTCGGTGTATATACTAACCCTGCCTCCTGCCTCCTGCCTCCTGCCTCCTGCCTCCTGCCTTGGCTGTATCTACTAACCCTGCCTCGTCTAGTCAGAGGTATGAAAAACAGGCACTGAATCTCCACATTGCTGCTACTATTGATGCATTAGAGTCCACGACCTCTCGGATCCCAGCTTTTCTGTCTGTGTGTCTGTCATTTCTTCATTCCCTTGTTGCTCCAATTCAGTCAATCCCTAAGCCTTGCAGAGCACAACACCCAAGGTGTCTGATGGGCACCCCAGGAGCTGATAGTCTCACCTGCAAAACTGCAAGTGACATTGCCCCACGTTCTTGGTCCCTCCCCTTACAGGGCTTCTCCTGAGACAGATCAAGTGTACAGGACACTCTGGGGACAGACACCACAGCAGCCTGGGAACATTGGTTTTTTGTTGTCGTTGTTGTTTTGTTTTGTTTGTTGTTTTTTTGATTTTTTTAAGACAGGTGTGTAACACTGGATGTCCTGGAACTCACTTTGTAGACCAGACTGGCCTCAAACTCAGAGATTTGCCTGCCTCTGTCTCCCAAGCACTGGGATTAAAGGCATGCACCACCAGGCCCAGCTGCTGGGCACATGGGAAAGCACACTTTCTGGGACTGGGAATGTAGTTCAGGGTAAGAGTGTGTGCAAGGACCTGAGTTCAATTCCCAGTAACAGACAGACAGAGACAGGAAGAAAGAAGGAGGGGGAGCTTAGAGCATACTTTCTCTGCTGATTAGAAGACAAGATAAAGGTCTACCAACTTGCCCTTCCTCACAGTTTTTTTGATAAATTACTTCAAATTAGAGGGTACTTCTAATGTTAGACTATATTCAGAAATAATACTATTCAAGTCCTACTTCAAAGGATAAAGATTAATTCACAAAGAACATTTTCTCTCTACCTCTTTGTAGAGGCAGGGAGATTAGGAGTGCAAGGCCCAGCTCATCTTCCTAGTGAGTTTAGTTTAGCCAGGAATGCATAAGTTCCTGTCTTAAAAACAAACAGCAGACATACACATTGGCAAATTACCCATATGCATAAAGTAAAATGAATACATCTTTAATTTTTTCTTTTTTATCTTTAAATTTTTTAAAAATAATGAATATATGTTTGTTTTATACATGTATATAAATATGCATATATGTAATTTACTTGTTTGATCCGAAAATAGGATATTACACGCATACACACAACTGTACCAGGCGCTTTCTGCAGCATTTCCACAAACATTCCTCACACTGAAGCTTCAGAAAACAATCTTAGTCTTTTTCTCCTTATTTTATCTTTAATTGTGTGTATGGGTATATGCACGTGAGCGCAGATGCTCACAGAGGCCAGAGATGTTGAATACCCTTGGAGCTGGAGTTACAAGCAATTGTGCACTGCCTGACATGGGTGCTGGGAGTCAAACTTGCGTCCTTGGCAAGAGCAGTCCATGTCCTTGACCACCGAACCATCACTCTAGTCCCCAAAATCTTTAAGAGCTGCATCGCTCCTGCCCCTTTCCAACACAGCACAGGCGTCATCAATACTTGTTCTATTGTTCTGATAAACTCTTCCCTGGTCAGGCATAGCTTGCTTCACTGACTCCAAATTTTTAAAGTGGTCATCTCTATGCTGCATGTATTGTGACAGACTAGGATATCCTGTAGAGAGATGTGTGTTTAACGTGTTTGGGTACATTTCTCATCTTCAGTAGGCTGATTGTCCCTGTGCCTTCCAATGAGAACAACCTCGCGCAGCTTCTCAGATGGGCGTCCCCTGATCAAGCTGGAAATGAGCACGGATGTCAGGTCGCTGGCACAGCCCAGCTCCATTCCCACCACAGCACCCATCACTCTGTCATTTGTGTGCGCATTTGCTTCAGTGGAGGTGCACTAGAGGAAGAGACTCATGCTCTGTTTACTGCTGTATCTTAGGACTGAGAGAAACACATAGTATAAAATAGTGTGCGAAAATGCTTGCTTAATAGCAATATAATCCTAACACAACGGATGCTGAAATACATCCCTTCCTGAAGTTCTGGGTTTCCATTCTCTCTCTCTCTCTCTCTCTCTCTCTCTCTCTCTCATTCACACACACACCCCAAGTCTCTCCCTCCCTCTCTTTCTCTCTCTCTCTCTCCCTCGTGTGTGTGTGTGTGTGTGTGAGAGAGAGAGAGAGAAAGAGAGAGAGAGAAAGTACACTAGAATGTATCTGTATGTGTTATAAAAAGCAAAATAAAATATGATCCAATCTAAAACTAGTTCTATACCTCAAAGACCAAAACCAGAGCATGAACCCTTCTCCATGTGTATGAAGTTAATGGATTGGACTGCACTCGAGGACAAAATCTAGGAAGGAACCAAGGGGCTTTGAAATACCATCCAAAAATTTCTCTTCCACTGAGAGTGGTTTTACCCTTGCTCAGATCACAGAAATCAGATCTCTGACTTTGTGCCTCTACCATAATATCAGCTCTTCCCCAGGGATTTCTCCTTTGATCTGTGAGCTCATATTGTCCCCGTTTATCCGTCAACTGTATTGTCAGATCATTAAACTCGGTGGACAATAAGCAAGTGTATGATGAGCTCATTGCTAGCTGAGCTCACTCATGCAGTAATTTGCTTGATGAGTGGTTACATTGCTAATGTGATGAGTGTGTTACCTTGGTAACTTGATGAGCGTGCTACATAGCTAACTTGATTAGCATATTACATTGCTAACTCGAGTGTGTTCCGTTGCTAACTTGAGTGTGTTACGTTGCTAACTTGAGTGTGTTACGTTGCTAGCTTGATGAGCGTGCTACATAGCTACCTTGATGAGTGTCTTACATTGCTAACTCAAGTGTGTTACATTGTTAACTTGATGAATGTATTACATTGCTAACTTGATGAGCGTGTTGCATTGCTTAACTTGAGTGTGTTACTTTGCTAACTTGATAACCGTGTTACATTGGTAGCCACATCTAGCAAAAAAAAAAAAAAGTCTTTAGCACAAACTTACCTGTCATTTCGAAAGATCTTTGGTAAATACCTCTTGGGAAACCACATGGCCAAAGCACACATCAGAACCCAAAGGATGGCAAGTTCATCAAGCATCTGACCCAGGAAACTGAGAGTTGCATGGAAGTAGACAGATCCAATTCCTAGAAACGATCACAGCCAACAAAAAGTAATTCAGAACAGACTCACACAGACAATCCTTCTCCGGGTGCCATCAGAACCACCAGAGTCTAACTCTCGGGGTGGGGACTCAAGAGGTCAGGCTTGCAGGCCTGGAGGCTAGAAAGGAGGTTTCAAGCTGGGCTCAAACATCAGCACATCACAACAGAAAGAATTCCACGGCCAAGCACACTCTGTCTCCGTCCTCTGAACCTTCACGATAACAGGCAGTAAATAAAAGTCAACGCTATCTCCCTGTTAAGAATTCCCAAACTGCCGGAGAGGAAATGGAAATCACACAAATATTTCACCGAACAATGAGGGACCTAACGTCTAAATATTTTTCTTTCTTTAAGTCCATTGGAACCACATCTCATCAGACTTCAATTGTTTCAGAGGTTCTTCAGAAGTTCTCAGAAAACCACGCTGGCAAGCCACCAGTGGCTGCTCACAGACGCTGAGTGCCGGTCTGTGATAGCTACAGGCAGCCTTGTTATTAAGCCGAGTCCTTTTGGCATCAGCAGAGCAGTGGCTAAGACGTCAGAGTGACTTTGGTTTACAAAACATTATGTTCAAAAGGGACAGGAAACATTCGGGGTCCCACTTCCTCCCTTTCAGTCCCAGCTCCCACATGACTCCACTTACCCACTACAACTAGGAGCGTCCATATTAAGTAGATGCCGCTGTTGAAGCACGTCGCGTATTGGCGGAACAGGCACATGCAGATGGGTGGTAAAATGAAAAACAAGACGTTGCTGATCTGGAAGGGAGAGCAACATGCAAAGATGAATAGGAAGTAAAAGCACAAAGAATGCTTGTTCCAAGTGTGTCCTTTGCAAAGCGGAGTTGAATGTGTCCATGCATCTTGTGCAAGTTCTGCAGTTTTTTAAATTGAAGACACGCAGCGGGGGTAAAGACAGACCACCTTAAAGTCCATGTAGGGGGCTCCTTGTCTCTTTTGATCATAGCAGCCACTGTAAGCAGCACCGCCAAGACTAGAGGTGGTGCAGCTCAATGGTCGAGCCCTGGCCTAGCAACAAAGCCTGGGGTCAATTCACAGTGTCTGGAGGGAGAAGAACATGAATACTTTGACCTATGAAAAGTTCCTCGCCTGATTCAAAGAGCCAGTAACTCTTGCTCTCCGCACGAGGACAGCACTCTTTCTTGCAGGGCCTCTAAGTCACAACGTCAGTTGTCTCATCCCAATCAAAACCTATCCTTTGAAGAAAATCAAGTTTGTATGCTTCTTCCCAGCTTTGAAATAAAATTGTCTGACTGGGTGTGGTGGTGCAGGCTCGTGGTACCAGCACTGGGTCTGAGGCAGGAGGATCGGGAGTTCAAGGACAGAGTCAGGCACGTGTGGAGCCTGGGCAATAAGAGACTCTGCCCCCCACCACACCATCTCCCACCCTGCCCCCCAACCTGTACTCCAAAAAGAGGAAAGAAAATTGTATTTAGCTTGCAAATTTTATTTGTGCTTAAACCTATTATGTCCCTAGGAAGCACTCGACTGTTTAAAAAATAATAATAATGTTTTATCTAATGTAATATAATATAAATATTATTGCCTGAATATGTAATCACTATTAAAATATCATTAGTTTAGCAAGGTAGCCTATACCCATATCCCAACTTCTTGGGAAGTTGAGGCTGGAGGACTGTGAATTGGATTAGTTGAATTTAGGCAAACAAATAAGTAAATAAATAATAAACCAGGGACTGGAGAGGTGGCTCAGCAATTGAAAGCAGAGGCTTCTCTTTCGGACAACCTGGGTGTGATCCCCAGAACCCATGTGGGGGTTCACAACCTTCACTCCAGCTCCAGGGGATCTAATGCCCTCTCCTGACCTCCACAGACAATAGACACGTGTGGTGCTCAGACAGACACACACGCAAAAACACCCGTACATATAAAATAAAATAGATAGATCTTACAAAATAAATAGATCTTAATAAAAATAAAATAAATAGATCTTAATAAAAAAGATAAAATAAATAGATCCTAATAAAGAAGAAAAAACAATAGTAATAAAAATGGTGATGAAATATTGTATATCCTTTGGTTCACACCCAGGCTTTTAAACCCAGTGTAAATTTCACACGTATAACAAGTCTCAGTTTGGGATCGTCACATCTCCCCATGCTCAGAAGACAGACTGTAAAACACAGTTCTACAACCTCACTCTAAATCTGAAGAACTGGAAATACATCTCAGTAAGATGCTTGCCTGGCATTTGTGAGGCCCTGGCTTAAATTAACAGAATCACCACCACCACCACTGAACTCCCTCCCCCCCAAATATAAAGGAGGAAGAAGGAGAGGGGGAGTTGGAGGATGTGAGGACAGAAAGAAAAGGGCAGGAGGCAGCAGCTGAAACAATGCCCTCACCAGAGTACAACTGACTGACTCCTCTGTCTTGTGTCTGCAGCCTGTAGAACTGTGAGAACCTTCTGATGTATAAACGACTGGGTTTAAAATATTTCCTATAGGAGCAGGACCAGATTTGGTACTGGTGGCTTGGTAATTCTACATTCAATAGCAGGCTTTTGAGGCTTTTTGCTTTGTTTTACACTCCTACCAGCGGGGTACAAGGGTTTTGATTCTCACTGAAACATAGTATACCCCGCTGTTTGTTACTAAAGCAAGGCCATTCTGAGAAGGTATACAATGGTAGAGACATTCAGCTTGCTTTCCTTCCTTTCTTCCTTCCTTCCTTCCTTCCTTCGTTTCTTTCTTTCTTTCCTTCTCTCCTTTTTAATTTATTTATTTTTATCTCATGTGCATTGGTGTTTTGCCTGCACATAAGTCTGTGTGAAGGTGTTGGATCCCCTGGAGTGACCAACAGTTGTCAGCTGTCACATGGGTGCGGGGAATTGAACCGGGTCCTCTGGAAGAGCAGCCAGTGCTCTCAATCACTGAGCCATCTCTCCAGCTTGACATTCAGTTCCTAAGCATCATCTCCAGTTGCTGAATGAGGAGCTCTTGGTCCTGGCCCGTGCACACAGAATATAAAGATAACATCTAAATCTAAATGGGCTTTAGCCTGAAGGTGAGGTGGGAGAAACACATCGCAAAAGACTTTAAAAAGCAAAACAAGTGACTCAGCAGTCAAGAACACGCGTTGCTCCTGCAGAGACCAGGGGTCACGGCACCCACATTAGGTGGTTGTTACAGCTGACTGGAACTTCAGCTCCAGGGAATACCATGCCTCTGACCTTAGAAGGCACTTCACTCACACACACACCACACCTTCACACACACATACCACATACACACCACACACAAACACACCACACACACACTTAAAAATAATAAAAAGAAGCCAAGAGAGACGGCTCAGGGGTTAAGAGCACTTGCTGCTTTTATGGAGGATCCAGGTTTAGTTCCCAAAAGCCACGTGACAGTTCACAACTGTCCATAAGTCCAGTTCCAGGTGATCCAACACTCTCCTCTGACTTCCTCAAGTGCTAGACATGTGGGCATACACACATGGAAACAAAACAGTCACACATATAATATAGAACAAATAAATCTTCAAAAAACAGTAATAAAAACATACCTTTTTTGCTTGTCTGTATGTTTTTTGAGACAGGGTTTCTCTGTGTAACAGCCTTGCTGTCCTAGAGCTTGCTTTGTAGACCAGGCTGGTCTTGAGCTCACAGAGATCCACCTGCCTCTGCTGCCCAAGTGCTGGGATTAAAGGCGTGTGCCACTGGGGTAGTTTGAATGTAATTGACCCCCATAATCTCATAGGAGGTGGCACTATTAGGAGGTGTGGCTTTGTTGGAGAGGGTATGGCCTCGTTGGAGGAAGTGTGTCAGTGCAGGGGTGGCCTTTGAGATTCCCTATACTCAGGGTACTGCCCGGTGTGACAGTCGACTTTCTGCTGCCTACAAGATGTAGGACTCTCAACTACTCCAGCACCACATCTGCCTGCATGCATCCATGCACCCCATCATGATGATAAAGGACTGAGCCTCTGAAACTGTAAGCGAGCCACCCCAATTAAAAAAATTTTTAGAAGTTGCCATGGTCAGCCGGATGGTGGTAGCATACACCTTTAATCCTAGTACTTGGGAGGCAGAGGCAGGTGGATCTCTGTGAATTCCAGGTCAGCCTGGTCTACAAGAACTAGTTCTGGGACATGCTCCAAAGCTACAGAGAAACCCTGTCTCGAAAAACAAACAAACAGCAACCAAAAAAAAGTTGCCATGATCAGGGTGTCTCTTCTCTGAAAAAGTGAAAAGAACCAGACCTGGTTGCTCATGCTTGTAATCCCAGCTACTCTGGAGGTGAGGCAGGAGGCTCCCAAGTTCAAGTTAAAGGCCTTCCTCGGCTACAGCTTGAATTAACAGCCAGCCTGGGCAACTTAGTGTGACCGTGTCTCAAAATTTAAAAATCCAAAGAGCAAGGCTGGCAAGACGGCTCACTTGCCACTGAACCTGACAAACAGAGTTCAATTTCACCCACCAGCTGAAAGAGGAGAACCAGCTCTGTTAGGAATCCTCGGACCTCCACCTTTGTGTGACAGTAGGCAAACATCCACACACAAACACACTTACTAAATTAAATAAACGAAAAATAAATAAATAACTAAAAATAGACTTGGGTATATAGCTCAATTATAAAACACTCCCCAGCATGTGTGGGGCCCTGGGTTCAATCCTTAGTACTGCCAGGAAAATTCAGGGATAAGTAGACAGGGTAAAGTCTTAGGGTTTCTTTTGCTGTGATAAAGACCATGACCAAAGCCACCAGGAGAGGAAAGGGGCTATTTCATCTTAGACTTCCAGGTAACTGTCCATCACTGAAGGAAGTCAGGGTACAAACACAGCAGGGCAGGAACTGGTACAGAGGCCTCACACACCCGTTACTTGCTTTCTAGACCACCCAGAACCACCAGTCCAAGGTGTGGCCCCGCCCACAAGGGGCTGGGCCCTCTCCATCAATCACTAATTAAGAAAATGCACTACGGATTTGCCTACAAGCCAATCTCATAGAGACATTTTCTCAACTGACAGTCCCACTTCCCAAATGACTCTAGCTTTTTTTCAGGTCGAAAAAAAAAAAAAAAAGACTAGAAAGCACTAGTAAGTAAAGATGAAAACTCAAAAAAAGGGGCAAGATGGTTTCCAAAAGAAAGGTGTGACCACCCCTGTTGGCTAAGCCAGAAATGAGACTTACATGCTGGCAAAAAGGAGCTGCGGGGACACCTGAACTTGAATGCAGACAGAAGGACAGAAGGGCCTACACCCAGACCTCAGAAGCCACTCTGGTCACATCCCAATAAAATGTGTCACAGCAGGGGCTGGGGAGATATCTTAGTCAGTGAAGTGCTTGCCACACCTGCATGAGGACTTAAGTCTGGAAACCCAGCTCTCCAAACCCATGCAGAAAGCTGCCTTTGATGCTTTAATACAAGCAAATGCAGGGGAGGTAGAGACAAGGGGGTTTTTCAGGCTCACTTCCCAGAAAGCAGAACCAAATCAGTGATCTCCAGCTCCCACCAGAGACCATATCACAAACAATAAAGGAGAAAAGGATTAAGGCAACAGCCAACTTCAAACTCTGGCTTCCATACACAAGTAAACACACTTGTACATGCACAAATGTACATGCACTCACACATAGAGAGAGAGAGAGAGGGAAAAAGTGTTAGCAAAACCCAGAACTTAGGCACCCCTTGGAGGTGATACGGTCTTTGGAAAGAAAAGAAAGAATGGGAAAGAAAAGAGGATAATAAAACGAGAGAACAGAATC